CTTGAGAAAGAAAATCGTCAATTAAATACAAAAAATACTTCCCTTCGTGATAGAATACAAGAATTGGAAAAAGAAAAAAAGTTACTTGAGAAAGAAAATCGTCAATTAAATACAAAAAATACTTCCCTTCGTGATAGAATACAAGAATTGGAAAAAGAAAAGGACTCCCCTACTAAACTTAACGTTATAACTTCATTCTCTTCACCAGATCAAGAAATTCCTATTTCTAATCAAAAATTAGATAACTCGGTTTATATTACTTTTAATGGAAACGTGCCTCTTTCTGTTCTACCAAATCAAGATATTAATACTTCGTCGTCGCCTAATCAAGAACTAAGCGATTCACTTTATAATACTACTAATGAAACCACACCTCTTTCTGTTCTACCGGATGAAGATATTAATACTTCGTGGTTTAATCAAGGACTAAACGATTCACTTTATAATACTATTGAAAACACACCTCTTTCGTTAAATCAAAATCTAAATACATTTTTTACAATGCTATCGAATCAAGAAAATAATACTACATGTATCAGTAGAAACGTATCTCTTTCGCTAGATCAAAATCCAAATATATTTTTTATAAATCCACTATTTTCTATTTCTTCACCGAATCAAGATAATGAGATGAATACTTCGTCGCCTAGTCAAGAAATACCTTATTCTTATACACCTCTTTTTTCTTGATTAAAATTGAAATGATTCATTTTTTTACTAAAGATTCAACTGAACAACTTCACTTTAATTATGTAATCTATTTATAATTTATAATAAATATTTACTCTTTATTTTTTGATAGAATAAATTGTTAATTGATTTTCAAAGTGATCCTAATTTTATTTTATCGATAGAGATTCCAGCGCATTATGAGAAAAAAATTTTAGTGCTGTGTAAAAATGCACAACAACGCGACAAATCCCGTGCAATTTTGTTGTGAGATTACGTGAATCTCAATTATGATGACAGTATGGCCTTACAGGTTAGGGATTGAAATAGATTCTCAATTTGGGAATAAAAAGTAGAAAGCGGTAGAATCGATTATAAATTCCTCTAGTGGCACAGCATTATCAATTCGAAATTGGTAAATTGAGCAAGAATAACGATAACAATACGTAGTTGCTAATCGTTTGGTGCAGCTATGAGCTTTAATTGCTTTTATTCATTACAATTTTGGTGGCGAATAAAATTAGTTTGCTTCATCATAACTTTAATACAAAATTTATTTGTAGCTATTTTCTAATCTTAAAATAAATTTAATTTTTACTGTTTTTAGGGTTCCATTAATTTTGACGAATCAATTAACGAACACAAACTCCTACAGTATAAATGCTCTATTATTCTCGTCATGCTATATAGAGCACATTGATACAAAAATATTATACATGTATAACACGTTTTTTTCAATGTCTCATATCCTCCCAGAAAAACGAATACATGCTCTCCGAAAAGGATAGAAATCGCTGCGTCAGACAGATTGGCTTAGCTTTTATCCTTCAAATATGCTGAAAGAAACTAGAATTTTGAAGATGAACCAAAACCCCGGTCGTCCATGCATTCTTTTAGATTGTTACGAATTTAGTATATAACAATCCGAGAGGTTGGAATCGAATCAAATGATCGACATTCGATTCATTTGACCTAAAATTCGAATTACAGTGACTCACTAATGTTACTTAACACCGAAAAAAAGAATGGCGAGATTAGAATATTCGTTAAAATAGTTATTATCACTTAATGCAATTTTTATTTTCATCGATCTATTGCTTCGCAGACAAATAAATTTTTTTAACTATTTTAATACTTCATTTAATATGACTGACTTGGATGGAAAACAGAAGCTTATAAAGATAAGTCAAGAAACACTCTTTTTCAACTTTTAATTTTTGTAAAATACTATTCACTATTATAAACAACACTTTAACCATTTTTTATTTTAAAAATGCCTTGCATCTCATTAGAAAATGCATCCACATACACTCTCTGACAAGAAGAATATATGGTATGGGAAATAGCATTATTTGAAGGGGTGGAGTTAGCTTCAGTTCAACTCATTTGCAAAAATAATGAAGAAACTGGAAATGTTGAAGACAAACCAAAATCTGGTCATTCTCGCATTCTTTCAGACTGTTTTGAAATAAATATTGTCTGATTAATATCAATATAAAAATGCTCTAATGTTGTTCAGTTCAATGTGAGCTCAAAATCAATTGGGAATTGAAATTTCTGTGAAAGTATATAATATCTATTAGTTTATCCACAAGAATTAAGCAAAAAATACCTTACTCAAAGAGATACATAAAAATTGTTGATTGACAGGGCAAAAAAAAATGCTAAAATTTGATACTTAATAAATGGAAAAAAATAATTTGGTTTGATGAAAAGCAAGTTTCAAATATTTGAATCAGATGAACAAGAATGGTGTTGAAAAAGCCAGGTGAACATCTAAAAACTCGCCATATATAATCCTGATCATAAAATATGATGGTGATTCTATTATGAGTTGTTTAATTGTTAAAAAAGTTAGAGAACTCTGAATAAAATGGATGATAATGTCTATATTGACATTTTAAATAATAACTTCTTAATTATGAAAAATGCTGGAAGATAATGAATTTGTTTTTTAGCAAGATAATAACCCTAAATACACATTCAAAAAAGCAAAACAGTGATTTATTGATAATAAAATTACTTTTCTTGATTAGTCTGTCCAGTCACCCAACTTAAAAACTCGTGGAATAAGTTTTGATACACATGCACAATATTTTTGTTCTACTTTTAAGTAGAAATGATCTGTGAAAAAAGTTACAAATAGTTTAAAAAGGCATCAAAATTAATTATTTTGAAAAGCTGATCAATTATAAATTAGTAATATATAATATGATAATTTTTAATTATACATGTATCTATCTTTTTATTTCCATCCAAATTGGTCATATTACACGGAACGTTAAAAAAGACATTAATGTGCGAAGCAATAGATCGATGAAAATAAATATTGCATTAAGGGATAATAACTATTTCAACGAATAAAATTAGGTAGATTTTTATTTGTTTATGATTCTTCAATGGCGAGATATTCGAATCTCGCCATTTTTTTTGATGTTCCATAACATCAGTGAGTCAATGTATAATCAAAGTATAATTTCAAATTATAACTTTTTAGATTCAAATATTTGAAAAATACGAATCGAATCCGAATAAAAGTTAATTTAAAGTTATTATGTAAAATGTAAAGTTATTAGATAATAAATTTCTTATAATTATTTCTTCCTGTTTCAGGCAGGTAACAGTCTTTCTGTTACCACATAACAGATAAAATTTATATAATGCGCTGGTTCCGAAAAATAGTTCGTTATAAACCGAATCTGCTATATCGATCGTCCATTCAATGTGTATTCATACCATTACTGTTGATGAGTTTGCCGTATTGGTTTTACATCAGGAAGATTTTCCCACATAATTTCTATGTAAGATATGTAATTCTACCTGGCTAAATTAAATCTGCTACATATGGATTCTCAGTAAAATCACATAACATACAAAGTTTATGGAAATATTTCCCACCTAAATTATATACAGTAAAACCTCTCTAAGTGTACCCCTCGGGACCATAGTAAAAAACAGGCAGAGTGTGCACTTAGAGAGGTTGCGCATTTATAGAGAGTAAAATAGATATGTGTCTTATAACTTGGAACCAAGCCATACCGTGCATTTAGAGAGAATTTATATAGTGTGTGCTTTTATAGAGGATGCACTTAGAGAGATTTTACTGTAGTAGATTTATATAGCATTACACAGTGCAAGTCGATATAACGGATTCTCTTTAGAAATTTAAACCTAATAAAATCATTTATTTTTTCAAAAGAAATAAATTAAGACTCACAATGCAATTTCTTAAAAACTTTAGTTACTAAATTAATGAACTCGAGCTTAATTAAAGTTTAAGTTTTCTAAAGAGAGTCCGTGATATCGACTTGCACTGTGCACTGAATTATGATAAACTATGATCGTTATCATATGTTAATGATCTGCAAAACGATACTTTAGATAGTGATGTTAAAATATATGTCCAGTCCTGTCCGGTCCCAGGATCGAAAAAGACCGTCCTGGACTTAATCCATAAAATCGTTAGCTTTATCAAATCCTGAATTACAATTCTTCAAATAAGTCCATCCAATGTGCTTGGACACAAATCCAGCAATTTAATTGGTTAGAACATCTGTCCTGACTAATTATATTGCTGGATTTGCGTTCAAGTGACAAACTAACTGTTTATCCAATCAAATTGATTAAGCTATACGTATACGTTATACGTTATATATACTATAATTTTTTTATATAATATAAATCACAATCGTATAGATAACAATAAACTGTGAAACTAACGCTAATAAAGATTATTACATATAATAGTATTATATTCTAAATTCTATAACTTGTTTCTAATTCTCTTACTAATTCTATTTTTTTAGCTTTCTTCAAAAATATCAATGTTATTGATATTACATTCAGATTCTTGCTCTTCGACATTTATTATATCACCCAATTCCATATACCAGCTCTTAAGCATAATGACGTGCGTGCTGTTTCTGGATCAATATAATTATGATTAAGATTGACAGTATGTTTTGCAATAGAAAAGCTTGCTCACTAGGTACACTAGTTGTCTGTACTGCAAGATAATCCATTGCAATTCGTGCTAGTATCAGATATTGCATAGCATTTGCTCTCCACCATAAAAGTGATTCTACTTCAGTTTCAGGCTCAGATAAATAGGTGCTAATTTCATTTGAATCCAATTGAATCATGTAACTTGCTATAAGATTGCGAAAAAACTCATAAGATGTTTTAGTAACAGTTGATACAGATAATAATTTACTTTTTTTGGCTGGTTTGTGTTTTTCATACACCTGGTAAAGTGTATTAATAGCTTGTTTAAGTTCATTAAATTATAGATTGCAAACTTGCTGCGTGAATCAAGAAGATCTGAGATTATTGATAAATTATTTAGATACATCCAATATAACTCAAGTTTTATTTTTATTATATTGGCTACTGTAAATTATGTATTAAGTTCTGAATCAATATATTTATCTAGATACTTGATAAGATTAAAAAATATTATATATAAATCATCTTGAGTAAAAAATATTAAAGAGAATAATATTACAATAATATAATATAACACATATCTACAGTATATTACCAGAAATTTATTGTTGATCATTCAATAAATTAAAATTTTTATTATTAAATAAAAAATTATCATATTTATTAAATATACAATAAATTAAAGAAAAATAAATTAGTAAATATATAGTTATATTAATTCAAATTTAAGAACTACAAATTAATATGATATATATTTGTCATTAACTTTAATAACTTTGTCTATATATCTAGACAAACTCAAAATTAACTTACACAAAGTTTTCAAATTAATACTTATCCATTCTTTTTGTAGTATATAAATTAATTCTTGTTTTAATATAGATAATAATCTTTTTTTTGAATTCAGCAATCCAAAATATTCCACAAGTATTCAATTAAATTGAGATTAGAGCTTTAACTAATCCAATTCAAAAGTTGAATATTATGTATTAATATTCATCAAGTCATATATATCAAGATATAATATAATATATTATCTTGTTAAAATATAATATATAAATATTGGCAAGTCCAAGATACAAAATAATTAGTTAAAATATTAATATAAATATCTAAATTTATGATTTCTTCTACTAATATTAAAGGATTTAACTGAAATATTACTGATTCTCTATTAAATTCAATAATAATTTAATAAATTCTTGGTGATAAGCTTTATCAAATTTTTTATCTGGTTATCTAATTTGAAAAGTGTGAATTTGGACTTGTCAGATCAGATTATATTTTTCTATTACACTTTCTAGTTATATTTCTTCTAGTACTAATTTAATTTATAAAGTTCTTGATTTGAAATCAAAGAGTTTTTTAGTATAATTTTTAATTTCTTAATAAGTAATATTAAATTTATTATTTAATTCATTTGTGATTTCACCAAGTGAAAAAAAACTGATTTTTTTGAATAACTCATCTTAATATAAGTTTTTATGATTAATCAAAGTTTTGATTTATTGGAATATTTTTCAGAATGCAGAAAATTGTTTTTTTTATATTATTTGATAATATTATATATTAAATTTAAGTATAAAATTAAGATTTTTGAAACCAATAAGATAAATACTAATTATTTGCTTTTTTTGTTTATTCATTAACTTCTTTCTATGTATTATAAAAAGAAAAAAACAAAATTATTTTTTGTTTATTATTGTATTTGTATTATTATATATAATATTAATAAAATTGGTTTTTTAAACTTTGTATTAACATTTGCATGACCAATTTCCAGTAATATATTATAGAAGTATATAGACTCAAGAATTATTATTAGATCTTATAATTTATATTTAGTTAATATATATATTATAAGCAAATATATTATATTTTTAAATTGAATTACTAATTAAAATAATTTTTCATTCTTGCTTAGTAGAATAATACTTAATTTCTTATAGAATATTAATTATAGAATAAATTTATTGAAGTTTCTCTAATATAATATATATGTTATTTTATCACGTTTTTATATTAATTTCAGATATTAAAAATAAAATATTTTTCATTTCAAAAATCTTTTTTAGTTCTCAAAGTAATAGAGATAGATTCTGAAATTTTATAGAGAATTCTCATGCTTTGCGGATTTTTTTAGTAATTAGTTTTATTTCTCCTTCAACATCAAGATTAAGAACGTGTACAACAAAATGAAAATATTATATATTTGCATTTTGAAATTCATCAAATATCTTTTCTTTTAAGATATATCATATAATAATTATATTAAACATATTATCTGTTGTAATACCTAAAAGTTTTTTACTGATGTTCATTTTTTAAAAGTTTAATAATTGCATTGCTTTAATTTTTATCACAGTATGATTATCATCAAATGATATAATATCAAAAAACAAATCCAGCAATCTTTCACTAATCATCAAGCCATTCTTAAACAAAAAGATGAAGAATTAAATAAAAAGCAAGCAGCTTTCAAATAAAATTCAATGCATTTTTCAAGTAATATTTATTTAGTGCATTGTTATACTAAGATATAATTATTGAGTATACAATGTTTATTCATTTATTGTAATTGATACTTTTAAGAGAATTATAATCAAAACTATTTTAATTTTGTCTTGTTTTATAATATATTTTTGATTAACCCATGTTGAAAGAGTTTGATGATATAAAAGTTTATAACATGAATCAAGTTCTTGTATAAAATTCAAAAATTATGTATTTTAGCCAGCAAAAATAATTGTTAATCAATTATTATCTATTCTAATAATTTTTCATTTAAACTATCCACTTTTAACTTATTATTTGAATTATAAGAATTAAGTTATCTAAGTTTATATTGCTTTATTTTAATAAAATATGATAGATGAAACTTTTGAACATGTCTATCTATAGTTGTTGTTGCTGTCAAATTGCTAAATATTTGTTTGTATATTCTATATTCATTATCTCCATAGATGTTGATTTAAGTTAATTACAAACAGGTGTCCATCTTTTTTTTTGTGCTGTATTATCCAAGGATAAGGATTTTGGCCCGTAATATTATTTTTCATGAGAATAGATGAGAGTTTAATTTGTAAAGCTCTGTTCGGGTTGGGTCGGATTTGAGGTCAACTCGAACTGATAATTTCGGGTCAGGTCGGATTCGGATCGGGTTTGATCTGAAAATCGTAAAATAGTTTTTCGTTAATAACTTTTATTTTACTGAGACACTTGTATTTTGTGTCTAAGTAGAGTTTTTCGAAATGTAATTGTGTATATGCCCACAAATTTTCGTTTAATTCCAATTAATATTGAACGAAAAATAACGTTTTTTAGGCT